TAACTTTCGTTACGAAGATTGATGTAATTTAGCTGATGTAAGTGTGTTAATAACTTCCGCCATACGAGAAAATAGCGTGATTTTCTATAATAATAGAGCCATGACCCATCATAATCTAAGTTTGAACTTGATATTCACATCATTTTTTCACTTTCTCATACCAAGTATAGATATACTGGGGCAAATCGCTAATGCACACAAACGTTTTTCTGAAATAATCAGAAAATAATCTTAATGTTTTTTCTTTTTTTAAGGAATGAACTCGCCGTCGATTATTTCTTATCTACGAGGTACTATTTCATACCGCGATTAATTGCTAGCGTTGAGTGACTAGTTCACCGATTTACTCGTCTAGAATTTACTTCACGAAACTTTCAATTTTCCCTCGCTCATAATGCATTTTTTAAAAATCAACTTTAATGATTAAAAACAAAATATCTCGAAGATCTTGTGCGCGGAATGCTGTTTATCATACGAAACGGCACCGGTTATTCCGACTTTCGTCAAAGCGGAAGCAGTAGAATGAATTGAACGGAATATGATGTCAAGTGCTACATATTCGTGTGACCTATAAAAAGAAATGAAGAGACGGATGACACCACGCGGTTTCTTCACGCGACGCAACGCGGACAAGCACGCGATGCGGTAATGGGATATGCGCTGCCTTGCCTGCAATCACCAATCTGTATATCATAGCTCCATTTAATGACATGGCCCCGGCGCGCATTGCAGGACGAGAGTATTAGAAAGTTGATAGCCGCAACGGCCACGCGGATCTATGAATGTGGCATAGTAATGTCAATGCGCCCCGTTACGGTGCATGACGATAATAGATAAATGATTTGCGAAGTGCTCACGACGGTGCATTGAACGATTTATCATAGTTCTTCAATCAGAAACTTATTCACCTTTCGTCTTCGTATAGTACAGTACGCTCGAAAGGCCCGTGCAATCCCGGCACTTTACCCCGCGCGGTGTTTCGGCGATGAGTATTATATTTATGCCTCTTTGATCACACGGTATAATGAGCAAATGGATAGCTGTACAAAGATTTCGCAGGCGATATTGCCCATTTGATCTATTAAAAAACCATTAATGGCACGCAACCGGTTATTCTTCTCTTTCTATTTCTTTTTTTACTTATTTTTTCCTCGATTAATCTAACTATCGCTTGAGCGAAATGATTGCATAATTTACAATATCCGAATAGAGACCTGGGTAGGTTAATTCAGACTGGCTTTATTCAGGTTTAGTAGATATCACGCGATCTCATTATTAACTCCGACCAAATAAGATTTTAAACGAGAATAAATAATCTATCCTGGTGGCAGAGAAAATCGCCTATTTAAAAAAAAAATCAAAATAAGATTTTGGAAATAGTAATAAATTTTGAGTTACGTAAGAGCGTGCATATCTCGTGATGCAAAGCGCGAGTGAAAATTATGCTACACATGTTCGTTCATGCTACGCACAGCGAAAATAAGACGAGCAAGAAACTCGTCTCTCTTGCGGAACCTAACGGGATCGCGGAATGAAGGATGTACCAGACACAGGATGAGAACGTTCGGAAGAGGCGTTATAAAAGGAACAGCATGGAAAGAGCATAGAACGCAATTTTCTTCCTCTCCTTTCACTTCAAGATTTTTAAAAAATGTTTTAACAACTTTAAAATTATATTTACAAAGTTCAAAATACATTCAAAATAGATTCATAATATGTCCAAAGATAAGCAATTAAAATTGTACACAAAAATGTACAGAGATTTTGATTGTAAAAAAGCCTTTTCTACTTGTTAGCTTTAGAAATTTCAACGCCGGATAGAATATTGCTGGAGAGTTTAATGCTGGATGACGCTGCGTTTTATGCTTATCCTTTATTTTTCTCCCATATTTTAAATAAAATTGAAAGAGGACTTTTAGTAACAGATATTTCTGCATGTTAATAATGTAATATGTATATGTGTGCTTTATATGCGCTATTATATATATATATATATATATATGTGTGTGTGTGTGTATAAATTATTATTATATAGTGTTATATACACTTTCTTA